CGTACGGTGACATATAGCTGTTAACTTCTACGTCACTTGGTCACTAGTGGAGAGTTGTCTCATTGGCAAATATACCACATCTTCCTTTTTGTATCTAAATAAACCATACTTAATGATCTTATTTGTAATGGCTTGACCATTAATTATAACCGACGATTGGGCTCAAGCAGAAAAGACTATCAGGTGCTGATACTTTAACCAAGAACCAATTTACCAAATGGTAAAAAGCTGAAAATACAAAATGAAATACAATTTTACAATGTGTTGAATTAATGTTATAATGTATGAAACGTCAAACATAAATAAAGCTGCAATTATAACGGTGCAATTTCCAGTATATCACGGATAAAGAGTTCAAATATGTGATGAATGGTTTGATAGCATCAAATACAAAGTTATAAATGTAACTTACTCTGTGGTTAGCCACAAATTGGGTCCAAGATGACGTTTGTCCTTAAATGTTCTCCAGTTCTGTCAGGGGAATATAAGTAAGGGGGAGGGAAACCAATGATAATATGCTGGGAAGATCTTATTCGAACCTGTTGGTACTTTACCATATCAATTGAGTAAATATCAGAGATTATTGAAAAATAAATCGTATCTTGCCATTGGTTTAAAAACATTTACGTCAAAATGACAATAAGTTATAACATGAATATTGATATATTTGAACTCTATTATTCTAAAATTAAAAGGTCAATACAGTTTTGTTTACAAACTAACGCGTATTAATTACAGCCATGCACATGTTTAAATAGGGACCATAATAGGTATATATGATTATAAAATGGCAACATTTAAAAAAAAGACTTTAAATTTATTTGTTTCCGTTGTGCACATATTTTTGTACAATATTAACGATTTTATGACACTCACAGGTAATTTGCATTCTAACTGCAATGCTCCTTTCATGAAACGCGTCACCAGGTTGTTGTATTTCAACTGTTCGATAGTTCTTAACTTCTGTTACTCTTGAGTCAGTGATGATTATTTCATTTTTTATTTTTAATATAGACTATTCTTCTATTAATAAAAGGATGAACTATTTATCTATTTACAACAAAAGCGGCTTGCTTATGACAGCACCTTAGACAACAGAATATTTTAGGACCACTCTGTATTTGTCAATGTGAAATCATATAATATGTACATAAATAAACATTATTGTGACTTTTTCTTTTCTTTTCATCTTATCATTAAAATATATTAAAGAGTTTATAGAAAAAAATCGTAAGGGTTCCGCGGAACCCAGTGTCTCGCCTACTTTTGTTGTAAAAGTGTTATAGTAGCAGGCTCAACAAAAATGGGGAAAATTATTGATTTTTTTCCTCTAGATACTATCTTTTGATTCTGTCCAACTGAAGTGTGGTTAAAATCCAGGATGGTTTGAATCTAATAAATGTTTTTAAAACTTTAACTGCAGACTGTATGTAATGTTAACTGGAAGAAAACTAAGTCCATTTATAAGTAATATACGGAAAAACAGTAGATACTAGCTTTGATCATAAACAAGCTTCTATCCAAGTTTTAAAAACTTTTAACACCCAGTCAATGTAATGCTAACTGGCAGAAAAAATAAGTCCATTTATAAGTAAATACGGATAAACAGGATTTTTTTTACAAAATTTACTTCTGGATACTATCTTATAATCATAAACAAACTTCCTTCAAAGTTTGGTAGAAATCGATGATAGTTTCAGAAAGTTATTAAAATTTTAAAAACTGTAACCACATAGTGAATATTTGTGGACGCCGCAATGTAGGATTGCTATGTCTCGCTTTTGCGACAAAAGTCGCAGTCTTGACAAAAAGAAGATGTGGAATAATTGTCAATGAGATAACTCTCCACAAGAGACAGATGACACAGAAATTAACAACTATAGGTTACCGTACGGCATTCAACAATGAGCAAAGCCGTAAATACATATATAGATATAGGAAGCTGTGGTATGAGTGGCAATGAGACAACTCTCCGTCCAAGTTACAATTTATGAAAGTAAACCATTATAGGTCAAGGTACGGCCTTCAACACGGAGCATTGGCTCACACCGAATATAGTCAGCTATCAAAGGCCCCGAAATGACAAATGCAAAACAATTAAAACGAGAAAACTAACGGTCTAATTTATGTACAAATTAATGAACGAAAAACAAATATGTAACACAGCAACTAACGAAAACCACTGAATTACAGGCTCCTGACTTGGGACAGGCTCATACAGAATGAGGGGTTAAACATGTTAGCAGGGCTATGGTAGAATATTCCAATATAAGAAAAAACCATAAAAAGCAGTTAAAAAAGGCATCAACTCATCAGATGGAATCAAATAGAAATACATCTAACAAAAACAGACTGTATATTATCCTTTCATTTATTTAATAAACAGGACAGATCCACCCTTTGACCACAACCTGTTATATATTAATTCCAGGCGAGGATCCAGTCATTTTGAAAGGGGATTTCGACTCCAGGAACACTCCCTGGATCTGCCGATGATTTCACGGGTTTCATTGTGTTTAGGTGTTTTTTTTTTTCAATTTGAGGAAATAAGCAGTAGAATTATTTGTAGGTTTTCTTAGCGTGGATTTCAATTGTGTAATCTCAGCAGGCAGATGCATGTCATGCCCCAGTCACACTAGACCACGATCGCATCACGCTCACCGCGATCTAAAATAAATTCAGATCGTGGTGAGGTCGCGATAAGAGCGGCATGAAATGTAGATTTTCGTTGTTTTCGCAATGCTACTACGTCCTCGTTACGCTTCTACAACGATCTTGCTACGAGTATACCACGTTCTCACCACGCAGCAGTCGCTTATTCTGCGACCTTACTACGATTATTTCGATCTTACTACGCTTATCACGTTCTCATTACGACCATACCACGATTTATCCGATCTCACCACGCTTCTTCTGCGATTATAGCACGCTCTTACCACGATCATTCTACGCTATTACCACGTTTATACCGCGATCTAACTACGCCCTCAGCAGTAACGTCAACATCACGATCCATATCTACCAGAACTCGTGGGTGTGGTGGTGGCGGAAAATGTAGTCAGAGGGGCCTCTGGTACGAATCCTGATCCAGTAGAGATGTCGGATCAACCAATCAAACCTGAATCACAACGTATTGCTGATCTATCCAGATCAACTGACGATATTTTATTGAACAAAAGTGGGAATGATACCCACGGGGAATGATACAGATGTGTAAAGCATGGTTGAGCTGTTGAATATTAGGGTCATGAGGTCAAAATTACATACAGACAAACAAAACATGGAGAGCTTTTATATATTTTATGTGACGATGACAATGAGCATGGCTAGAACTCGAAATGGTCGTAGTATGAACGTAGTCAGGTCGTAAGACGGGCGTGATGAGGACGGCATGAGCAGTGGCGGATCCAGTAATTTTCATAAGGGGGGCCCACTAACTGCCTAAGAGGGGGCCCGCTCCAGTCATGCTTCAAACAAGGAATTAATTGAATCTGGAATAATTTTGAATTGTGGAAAATTGATTAGAAATGTATGATGAAAACTAACCCAACTAAATAGGGTTAGCCATGCGCTCATGGCTAAGGTTAATTTTACTTTCACTATCATTTCAGTACCCCTTAGCCATGCACGCATGGCTAACCCTATTTAGTTGGGTTAGTTTTCATAATAAATTTTTTATCAATTTTCCAGAATTCAAAATTATTCCAGATTCAAATAATTCCTTGTTTTCAGTGATTCCCTATATAATCAACCAAAATTTTTCCCACAAAAGGGGGCCCGGGCCCCCTGGAAAACCCTCTAAATCCGACTCTGATGAGCGTGCTAGAATCGTATTCAGGGGCAGATCCAGCCATTTTAAAAAGGGGGGGTTCCAACCATATGTCCCCACTCAAATGAACCCCCTTCTGGATCCGCCACTGGTACTATGGTTTTGAACAGCGTAGTATAAACGTGGTATAGTCGTAGTAGAAGCGTTGTTTGGTCGCGGGGAGAACATGATGGTCGTAATAACGTCGCTGTGAGATCGTAGCGCAATCTCTCTGACTAGATTCGCGCTAACGCTACGCTCTCGCTACGATGGTACAGCGATCTTAGCACGACCTTACTGCGCTCTCGCTACGCTTCTACTACGACCTGATTTCGGCACGACCGCACCACGATTGTTTTGAACATGTTCAAAGTTGGCCACGCTCATCACGATCATGAAGACCTCACCACAACCTTACTGCGATCTTCACGATCGCACTACGATCGTCAAAATTTGCATTTTTTTTCAGAGATCGTAGTGCGATCGTGGCCTTGTGTGACTGCGGCATAAGGAGCACTATTAAAACTTAAACCACTAAGTCGAAAACTCAAATACAAACTGTATGTACATAGTTTGAAAAACTGGATTCCCCATTTACTTTATTTCGTGTCATTCTTTTTTTATGTTTTTGTTCCAAGAACAGAATTCAATCCCTCAAAACAACCAGCTAACTACTTTTTCATGTAGTATGTCTCTGCTTGAACATAACATATTGTGATTAAAAGCACCGAAAACAAATTTTCAAAAGTGTTGGACAGACTGAATATTCCTGGATCATTTGATTCCATTTCATTTGTTCATGAAAACTGGGACCATTTATATTAAACCTAGTTGAAAATAATCCAAGTCAATATCCTATTGAGTTCTCATTCTAATTTTCATTGCCTTTGGTGGCTATTTTGAATTCTCTGTTGACCCAAAATAGTACCTATTGTGAATATGACTGTAATTGGCTGTTATATTTAGTTTCAGTGAGTTGGCTGGTTTAAGAGGAGACCAGAGGAAGCCTTGATGGTTGGTTATCTTGTCGGAATTATTTTACACTTTGTAATCTTTGTGTCTTTCATAGATTGCTACACAATGCCATACATACCTGTATTTTCTAACACTTACTTTGGTCTCTGGTGGAAAGTTGTCGCATTGGCGATCATACCACATCTCCCTATTTTATATTGATACAGATCCAAGAAAATAGAAGCTACAAGTATCATTCTATTAAACATACAAAATTTCTGAGAAAGGCAATTCTGTACTTTTGGATATATGTTTTTTTTAATTCTAGACAATTTTAGTCAACTTGAACTTTCACATAGACAGTTAATTTATATGTGAGCCTGTCTGTTTTATCTAAATGGTTGACAATATATCATTTATCCATTTCATATCCTTGAGACATTAAAATATTCTGAGCATACATGTAACATGACATGGGAAGAAAGATAGTCACACATACCAAATAGTTCTTATATTTGGGATATTACATGTGACTGTTAATACTAATATATATGTTAGTATTTTCATGATAACAGGTCTAATAACCACTTGACTTGGTTAAAAAAATCTTGGATTCTATGAAAAGGAATGCTTTTCCTTTTAAATGCAGCTTGAAAATGTTGAGTTGATGCCAATTAGCAATTTTAAGATCTGCCATGTCTGCTGTGCAGCTACATCTTGTTTCCTGGTATTTTAGAATTAATTGCATGCAGTCACAAAGGTCCAGACCTGGTATTGTTCTTTTTTTTTTTATATTTTATGATGCTCTTGTTAAAACAGTTTTTAAATTTTCAATATCTTTTCTGGTACATGTAGCTCATTTTTACCTGAAATAGAGAAGAGTCATATGGATATTTTGATAATATAAATAAAGAATAAACAAAATTGGCATGTAATTATATAAAGATCAGTAGCAGATCCATACATTTTCATAAGAGGGGACCCAGTCATGTTTCAGTGATTCTCTATATAATCAACCAAATTTTTCCCACCAAATGGTTGGCGGCCCGCTGCCCCCTTTCTAAATCCACCTCTGAAGATAAAATTGTCTTATTGTTACTGCTGATTCATTCAATTGTGTATACAACAGAGGAAAACAGTCCAATAAAATTATATCTTCTAGAAGTATGTTAGATGAGTAATGTACTATTGACAAACATTAACAAGTCCATTTGCCTTGCTTATATACTCAAATGACAAAAAATTGTTTTTCTTAACTGAAATATAGAACTCTTATAAATGTTTGTACATTCACTGATAAGCTGATACGTCATTTCTAATAATTATATCATACATGTATATGTACTTACACCTTAAATTCAAACAGTCTCTGTATGTACATGTATCTCTTTCTTTCCATTCCACATACCTCTGCAATCAGATCAGCATCTGCAACAACCAAAATTTAAAGGTGTGAAAACAAAAATTGAAATTTTCAAAGTGCAATTATATCAAAACAGCAAAGATAATGAATATAAGAAATGTGCCATTTTGCACATAAACATGTACCAAGGGGAAACTCCTTTCAAAGCTATACTTTATTTATTGTTTCATTGCATTAAATAGAAAATAGGGATAATGTGGCACAAAAAGCATATAAGATTTTTGAAGAAATTCACAGACTTTATACTGAGATTTTCGTTATAAAATTTATAACATAGATAACTCACTTGTTTGTCCATGATGTGCTAGCGTTTGTTATTTACAAAAAGGCCTAAATAACCTTTACATTCTAAAAAACCTTGTGCTGAGTCACTAAAGTCAAGTGCATCCTAGAAGGTGTACTTGAATTGGTCCATATTTATATTTGTTCTAACCAATATTTTGATTTATAAACTTGTCCTAAGGAAATCATTGCTAGCACTGCATGCAATAATGCTCTATCTATCAAGCATAGAATGGTCAAATATTAGAGTACAAGGGAATGGCTGGATTTTCATTAAAATTTCCATGTTTAGCATTGAAACAACAAAAGGGTACATAATACTTAAAGAGCTCTAATTAAGAGCTCATGTTCCTTGTTATTAATATTTATATATGCAACCGACTTTAAATAAAGATTACTTTGCTATACTTTACTTAAATGACTATGACATGTATGAGACACACTTTTCATATAATCAGACATATTGTCTCATTGGCACTCATACCACATCTTCTGATATCTATATACAAACTGTATATTATTTAAAACAAAGCTGTCCAGTCTTTTGGGTTTTTTTTATGGTCATGATCATGGATTAAAAAAAATATGAGTAAATATACTTAAAAGTTCACAGGCGGATCAAGGGGGGTGGGGGGCTTGGATCAGTCAGTGGGCCCCCCTTATAAAAAGTTCTGGATCCGCACTGAAGTTAATCACTTTGGTTGCCTTTATGAAAGGGGCAAAATGCTTACCATGTGCAAAGATTTAATATTGACCTGACAATTAAACAATGACTGAGAGTATACAACAGTACAACATGGTACATTTTTGTAAAAAATATACATGACTATATCAACCAATGTAAATTATATAATAAAATCTAGGGTGTTATTCACTTACATTCTGCCAACACTTAAAGTAGGAACTATTTCTATGTTTCGTCATGACTGTGAAGTAAACAATTTGTGAGGTGGTGTTTGATTAGCATATCAATAGAACAACAACAATGTCAACATGCAACTGCAAACTCGTTATTTTGTTGATTGATTTTATTTTTGTCATTCAACATCGAGTAGTAGAACTTTATACACAATTTGTAATGGATAATATGTCAAAAAATAGAATAGTTTATCTTTTTATTTCATTTTCTTGAAAAAAGTTGAAATCGCAAGTATCTTGCGATTTCGTTTCAATAATTTTCAATAGCACAACTTTTTGGTCGTCTGGTTACAATAGTTTTTACAGTGCGATTATTATTGTCATATAGATAGATCGCAAGTTCATGTTATGAAATATTATGTGGCAGACTTACGTGTCATTCTGATATATACGATCCGCTAAATCAACCTTTTTGTAAACACAAAACTCGGTCTTCCCCGCATAAACATGGCGGTTGCATTATAGTAAGGAGTTGTTTCCCCTTACTGGTTCTGTGATGACCTTGCAATTCAGTTCGAGTTACGTATAAGAAAGGGAACAGTAACGATGATAACGATATTTTGAAGTTCTTATACAGTTTTAAGATGAATAATCCTCCTACGTCGGGAACACATAAATAGATTATGAATATAATCCAACGAACTATATGAATTGAGGAACGAGGTACAGAATACTCACCGTCTGATGTCTATCTGATATTACTATTCCATAAATATATTGCATATGAATATAATATAAATAAATAAATCCCAACATAAATTGAATATGTAAAGGAGTAATGTCCACTATTGGTCGTTTGAGAAATATCAGTTCTCATCCTACGACTTTTCACTGTGAAGTTTCTTGAATAAATTCGTTCCACGGGAATCTGGGTTCGGCACAGTTTCTTGTCCTTTAGAAGAAGGATGTCTCCAATGAGATCGATGTGATCTGCAGAATGTTTCATTATTGCTGTTCGATAATAGAAACTGTTTTTCCAACGTTGTTAGACGGCGATGACGGTCGAAGATGGTCCTCTGGTGAGACAGACAAGAGTTAGTACTTGGTCCTCTTCTGAGTTGGCGAAATATCACATATTTGTGAGTATCAGAATTCACTCAGGGAATTGTATGGAATGCGTTTTTGCAACCTTGACATTCGAATTAAGGTTTTGGTAGTTATCCTCACCAACGATTGGATTCTCGTCCTCGATGGTTATTCCCGGTCTTGAGGCAAGAAGTTGTTCTGGTTCCGTGATTGAAACGTTAGTTATCTTCGTTTTGATTTCAAGTGGAACAGTTTGCTTGTCAATATATGTTTTTCCAATTATGACCCAACCAAGTTTCAACTTTATGGCAAATGGAGTTCTGGATGGTCCTAGGTCTTGTTCAAGGACGTGATGTGCCTCTATAAGGTCTCTTCAAATTAACAGTTGGATTTTGCACTTTTCCTCTATTGGTGGAATGCTTCCTCTGAGTTCTTTTAAATGGGGATGATGCATTGTGACTTCAGGAGTAGGGATTTCGTCCCGATTATTGGGAATATTATCACATTCAATTAATGTAGGCAGATCAAATTGTAAGTCACCATGTACAGATGTTATGACGAAATTTCTTCCTTTTTTCCCGGAAGAAGCTACTCTGTCGGATCATGTTGATAGAGAGTAGTTTTCGTGTTTATCCCGTACGTCAAACAGATTGAAGAATTCAGGCGATGCAAGAGACCGATTTCTTTGGTCGTCAATGATGGCGTACATCCGGATAAGGTTGTCTGTCCTGACCTTGTGGTACACATCCACAGTTAATATCTTGGCACACGATTTCTCACTCTTAGGGTCTTTGTGGGTGTCTGCAGGTTGACCTCACAGAGGTTAACTTGCTTTCAGCGGACTCTGTCTGCCCCCCGCCGTAAATTGTGCCGGAGGAACTAGATTGAGAATTTTCGTGTGGTTGCACTCTTGTTATGTGTAGTGCGGTGGTGTGTCGTTGACTTCCACACTCGTTACAACCTATGCTCGCGTTGCAATCCCGAATTATGTGTTCGGTTGACTCACAACACTTGTATGTAGCAAACATTGTTCTGTCTTAACAATTCCTTGCGTTCCTCGATCGATTTGGCTCGGAACGCTCGGCATTCGTTTAAGGGATGCTTTGTATATTATGCATAATGCAAAGACTTTGTTGTTGACTGCTGTTTCCAGGTAGTTGTTCAATTGCCGTCTTATGGACGTTGACTTTAGAATACGTCTGAGGTGTGAACTTTGGCGCAGCACCTTTTGTATTTGGTGTGACTTTTGACCCAAAGATGAACCCAGGATCGTTCTTAATTTTGCTAACTTCCCTGATGAAGGCAGATAATTCTATGGAAGGCGGAAAGGCAACTTCGTATTTAGACTTGTATCTTGAAGCCCTTGTTGTCCACTTTTTCTTGGAGTCCGTATGGCAGTTTTTCCACAATTGGATTTTTCCCGGACGAAGAGTCGAAATAAGCTAGCAAACATCCCAGCTTGAGATTTTCTTTGTGATATTCTATTTCTGAGATAATAGCTGACAAATCGTAAAATCTGGAACGCCTTGTTTTTGGTGTGCAGCAAGGATCTCCTCTGAAACGCCTTGTTTTTGGTGTGCAACAAGGAACTCTTCTGAAACGCTCTGTTTACGTTTGTCGGTTATTGTTCCCAGATCTGGGAATAAAGTAACTTCTGGTGACTTAGCATTCGTAGGGAAGACAGCAGGTGTCTGTGAAGGCAAGTTAAATGACACGGATGGCACGAACTCTGGTGCTTCATGACTAAGCTCCATCTTAGCAGGAGTTTGTCTTTTCTTTTGAGGGCCTGTTACTTCCTTTACGGCAGTTGGTTCAGGATGTTTATTGACGAAAACTTGCACACGTTGGAACGGGTCTTCAGTTTCGTTAGGGAGATCGCCCAACTCTTGGCTGTCGTCGTACTCTAGAATACGAGCCTCGGCTTCTGCGGCTGCAGCTTCTCTTCGTGCTTCGTGAAGGTTTGAATTGGCTTTCAGCTGGGCCTTTTCCCGGCTTACACGTGCAGCCTCTTGTTTCGTTTGTGCTTTCTTGCGTATGGCCTCTGGTTCTGATAACGATATTTTGAAGTTCTTATACGGTTTAAAGATGAATAATCCTCCTAAGTCGGGAACACATAAACAGATTAAGAATATAATCCAACGAACAATATGAATTGAGGAACGAGGTACAGAATACTCACCGTCTGATGTCTATCTGATATTACTATTCCATAAATATATTGCATATGAATATAATATAAATAAATAAATCCCAACATAAATTGAATATGTAAAGGAGTAATGTCCACTATTGGTCGTGTGAGAAATATAAGTATATTATTTAAAAATACAACGGGTAACCCTGTAAATTACGACACCTTTGATTTGTTTTAAATGCAGAAATTACACGTCACATCGAAACAGTTCATAAATGAATATGCGTTTGAGTCCTTAAAATAACTCTAAAGATATGAAAAGATTTACAGACACTGAGTGATTTTCTTTGATGTTGAGGCGACAACTCTCTATTTATTTTAAAACTTAGGGTTAATGAAATAAAACAAATTGAGGTTTTATATATTCCTCGATGGTTGGCATTGAAAACTATTACAAATTACTACCGGTATGTGGTTTGCGAGGATAGATTAGCAATAGTCAAAAGATTTATAATAAGAGGAATATGAGTATTATCTATTCATGATCCTTTTATAAAATTAGAGATGCGTATGTAATGTTTTTTAGGATAATTTGTGAGTTTTCCCTCTCCAAAACATATAGTTATAAATTGCAAAGTCAATTCTTTTGTTTTCGGTATGTGAACAACCCACCTCCCCTCAAAATAAAATCAGATTAAAAGTTGAAGTAGCTGGTGCACAACTTCATGTTAAACCTAAGGAAGAATCAGTGCAAGTTTCAATGAATTCCGTCAATTTGTTTTCAAGGAGTCGAGCCAATATGTAGTCATAAACGAACTTAGAGGGTCAAGTTGACAGAGGTCTAGTGCGTTTTTGGCGACAACTTAGTAAAAAAGTATTTTTCTTAAAATCAATATCCGTATAAAACGAACTTGCCACTGCAAAAACAGGATTTTAATATTGCGTACTGGACATGAGCTATAACCAATTAGCACTGTTATTCCTGCTTCCCTCTGTCTGTCACAGAATCGTCAAAAAGAGCAAATCAACAACTTTATTATATTTTTGCTAATGTACAAAAGGACAAGTTATGAAATGAAAACGTGAGAAATGTTTGAGCAAACTGATTTAAGTACAAAGTTGAGGTTTCAAATTGTTTCTACTCTAAAAGTATTTTTTTTAGTTTGTTGCCTGGGGTATAAATAAATTGAGATCAAGCATATCTCGAATATGATAGCAAATGACCAAACCATATAAACCAGTGTAATTGATTTTCCAAACCGGTCTTAGTTCGGAATTAACAAATACGAATATAGCGTAGGGTTTTGAATTATTTTCAAACTGGCTACAAACAAATAATCATGATTCATTTTATAAACTTCTTTAAAAAAAGACTGTTTTCACATTTACATTTCGATTTTAGCCAGGAAGCTACCTCTAATTTCCAAAATAGCACCTCAGGATGGAACAAACAGTGGTTGCCTCTTATTTAGTATGTTGTAAAATCTAATTTAAATATAGGAATTTGGTTTCGTTATCCTCATATTCTTATATGTACGAGCACGCGAATTAAGATAGATCTGAATTTTAATCAGATTGCATGCTGTAATGTTATTTATCGGAAGAGAGAGAGAGAAATTATTTCTTTAACAAGAAAATTATACCCCACATAAAACAGCAGCTTCATGAAGAATCCATGTCAGTTTTTCTACATTTTATATTAAAAAAGAAGGGTGGTAAAATCACGCTTCTTTATGTATCAATTATCTGATCGTTCATGTCAAACAGGCATTTAGGTTCACGATTGCATTTCTTTTTTTTAAAGAAAGCAACTTGTTGAATACTTTATTTAGGTTGTTAAAGTCAATTGAGAGGATATCATTTGCCGTCAGAATTGACTCACAGTGAATATTTACTATACATTTTCAACTGGACGTTAAGCAAACAAAAGTTATCAATCGTGTAACAATGAAAGGGAGTGTGCTATGAAAACACTTATATTGCATATTCATTAAAAATCAAACTCTTAAAGACAAAATAATACTTTATCTGTGTTCTCTCCGGCTAAACAAATTATCGATTAACGGTCAATATTTGAATCGGTTAAATAGCATAAGCAAACATGATTTGTGAAAATAATTCGGTTCGAAAATCCAAAAAAATAGGATTGATTGATTGTTGGTTGCTTAACGCCCAGTGGCAAATAGTTCATGCATGTTCAGGACTAGCAATTAATAGGACAAGGTATAGCCAGAGAAACCATAAGCAGATAGTCATGTATGTCTTCTATTCAGATATTGAAAGCGATATTTTTGGTTTTGCACTAAATTTCTTCTTGTTCTTCTTTATCTTT